ACCCCCATGGACACTGAATTATTAATGGAGAAAAGAGAGAACAGATAATCAAGAGAGGGTTGTTGGCAGCCATTGTTTGACGTTCATGGTGTTACACAACATTGAGCATGTCCAATTCACCTGCCAGGAGCTATTTGATTCTTACTCTAGGGTTCCATTTTCTTATTTCGATCGTAGCCAACATCTGGCTGGGTGATGGTCCATGTCAAAAGATGTAGATCTTCTTTTTATTCCATTAAATTTGGGGATCTTGTTATGATATCATGCCTCATATACTTGCATCTACAAATGGTCATATTAACCGGCTCTCTGCTCCCTGCAGAACCTAAGCTTGTATTGGGGAAGGAAATAGAAAAATCAGGATCTTATTACTCTTGTAAGTGTTCAGTTCTTCCATTATCATGGGTTTGGACAGAATTCTTTCTCCAACTCATTTGTCAGATAGAGTGGCATTAAGAATACCCAGTCTACACACACTCTCAAAGGAGTCTCACAGCCTTCCTCATGCTTAGATTGAATTTTCTAGACTCCAAGGTTAAACAGGCAAAAGAACTGCTGTTTTAGCAATTAAAGTAAAGTTCCATCTAAAGGACTGATTCAGTGGAGGTGCTCCTTTGAGGGCACAAACCAGGGCAGAAGGAGCAAGGCCAAGGCATTAGTGAGCAGGATCACACGATCCAATCATTCCAGCTGCTAAGTAGATTGATTTTTCTGCCTGGTTGCCTGGTACACTTTAGTGTATTGCTTTTCTCCTTTACTTTTGGGAAGATGATCCTAATTTAAGGAGCCACATCAGAATTCTTAGGATTAAAAACAACAACAACATAGACGTTCTCAAATCGCTTCTTAAAATGATGTCTAGGATTTGCCTTAAAATAATCTAGGGAGTGGAGAAAAGGAACAGATGAAACACTTTGGTCATGCATTGATAACTGTTTAAACTGGGTGATGTGCTTATTCGCTCTACTTCTGTATTTGTCTGAAATTTTCCATTATAAAACTTACAAAAAAGGAAAAAAAAAAAAAGAAAAAAGGTAGAGAGCCAATGATCCAGAAACTTGCTAGTTATTACTTTCGACCTTTAGCTTCACCTCACTCTCTTTTAAAAAATTGCTAACAAGGAATGCTGTCCAACATCATTTTCTCTCTCTAGATCTGCCCATCTTATAACAGAGATATTAACAAACAGCCAAACTGCCAGTGGACAGATGTGAAGATTTAATGAGGAGGGAGGTGCACTCACCAGCTCTTACAGGACGGAGCACTAATTGTACACATCTACTGGTTTCATGTTCTCTGGGTGCCCGAATGAGCTTGGAAAATGGCACACCCTGTGTCTTGCTGGAAAGCACATACTGGAATGCCAAGCTACCGTGTCTCATCTTGGGTGGCTACATTTTCCTTAGTTCTTGTGGTGGAAATGAGAATGGAAATCAACAAGATGAACAATCATGGGGAAGTCGTGGGCTTAAAAAGGATAAAGAGAGAATCAAGTCCTCTTCAGTACACTGCATGTCTCTTCTTTCATCTCATTCCACTGGAGATAAGACCCTTGGAGCAGGAGATGTTCATGAATGGAAGAACTCGGGGAATCAGCATTTGGAAAGGCGTTCAATATTGTGCTGAGGCCAGCATTCCAAGACTACCATTGTAAATGTACTTAGCAACTCTTAAACAAGAGAAAATTCTGAACTTATTCCTAATCATGAGCCATTTTGCAAAACAGTCATCTACTTCTAGGCATCCAAGTATTATGAGATTTAAAAAGTAACCAAACATCTCATTAAATACATAAGAATCTATACCTGCTGCTGTCGGGTCTATTCTGATTCATAGTGACCCTACAGAACAGAGTAGAATTGCCCCCACGGTGTTCCCAAAGCTGCAAATCATTACGGAAGCAGACTGCCACATCTTCCTCCCGAGTAGTGGCTGGTAGGTTCAAACTGCTGACCTTTCAGTTTATGGCTGAGCGCTTAACCACTGCACCACCAGGATTCCTGTAAAGCATCTATGTTGTTGTTAAGTGCCATCGAGTCAATTCCGACCCAGAGCGAGCCTGGATAGAGTTTCCGAGGAGCAGCTAGTGAGCTCGAACCGTCAACCATGCAGTTCAAGGTGACTTTGTAGTCCAGTGCATTAACCCACAGCGCCACACCAGGACTCTATAAAGGTGGACATTCTAGGGCTGAATATAAATCCTTTCAGAACGCACGTTTTAAGTTAAAGCATACCTTAAAACATAATCCATGAGCCAACAATGTACACCTGAAAATAAGAGTTCCTTCTAAGACAGGAATCAGAAAGGCATTTTTTCCCCCTGTCTCTGCCATCAGTTAACTCAGGCTAAAGAGGATTTCTTGGTACAAAGCAGCTTGATTCTATGCAACCTGAAGTGATGATGTGCTGTTTAGTGCCACTGAGTCGGTTCTGACTCATAGCGATCCTGCACAGGGTTTCAAGAGTGGCTGGTGGGTTTGAACCTCCAACCTTGCTGTTAGCTTGCTTATCCTATGGTGCCAGATCAGGATATGAGAAGGTAAAAAAGAGATCTATTTGGGGATAGTCTAATTGAGCAAGTTGCAAATTCAAAAGAAAAATTGTAAATACACCAAGGATTTCTGTAGAACTGTAAATCAAGAATTCTGTAACACTATATAGAAGTCTGGAGTTCTGGTGTGGTGCTGAAGATTAATGTGCCAGACTGCAAAGCCATTTGAACTGCAAGATCAGCATTTCAAATTCACCAGTTGCTCCTCGGAAACCCTATACAGGGTCACTATGGGTCACAACCAACTCAACAACACTTAACAACAACATATAGAAATCCTGGTGTGGCACTGTAGCATAAGCACTGGACTGCTAACTGCAAGGTAGGCGATTCAAACCCACTAGCTGCTCCTTGGAAATGCCATATAGGGCAACTGCTCAGCAGAGGCATCTATTCCTTTGCTTTGGACAAAAGACATGATTTGGATTTCTTCTTACTCATAATCTCCCATCAAGAAGATAATTTAAGGATCGCTTCATTTTTTGCCAAATGGTTAAAGAAAAAAAAAAAAAAGTTCGCTTTTAGCTTATAATTATACTCTTGCTCCAGCCAATGCAATATGAAGTACATGTTACATCTTTAAAGTCATAGCAAGCCTCTTCTTATCTCTTTCCTAAGAATACCTGAGAAGTATACAGTACTATGGTTTCACAGCCTAGCTTTCTGGCTATAAGGGAGCTGCTGCTTGGGCCTGCCCAGATCCCCTTACTGCACTACTGCACCCACCCATGATTTGCTGTGAGCACTGGTTGACAATGGGCAATTCAAATATTTTACACTAAAATGATAGAAAGTGGCAAGAAACTCACTAGAGCAGTAAAAATAAGTCAGTCCTGATGACTTCCGGCTCTAAAAGATTCCACTGTATCTGGAGACGAAACTGAGACCATATTTCTCTCTAACACTATATAAAGCCTCTATGAAGCAAGCTATGTCTGTTTTAATTACCGCTAGACATTCGATATTCCTAAATTCCAGTGAATAGAATTATAAACAAACAAAAAACCTGGGTTCAGGCTCAACTGAAAAGCATCATTGATTTTTTGTTGCAAGAATTAAAAACACAAAAACCAATCAACCACTTCCTTTAGGAAGAGTCTCTTCAGTTTCTCAGGTAAGTAAATTTCTTTTGGACAATGAATAAGGATGACCATAGAAGAATTGATGCATTTGAGTTACAGTGTTGGAGAAGAATATTAAAAATATCATGGACTACCAGAAGAACAAATAAATCTGTGTTGGAAGAAATAAAGCCAAAATACTCCTTAGAAGTCAGAATGACCAGATTTCATCTCTCATACTTCGGACATATCATCAGGATGGACCAGTCCTTAGATAAGGGCATCATGCTTGGTAAAGTGAAGGGTCAGCAAAAAGGAGGAAGACCCCCCCCCAGTGAGATGGACTGGCACAGTGGGAGCAGCAAAAGGCTCAACCGCAACACCGATTGTGAGGATGGTGCAGGACTGGGCAATGTTTCGTTACATTGTTCTATGAGACGAAACTGACTTAATGGCACCTAATGAAAACAAAAGCATCATGGCAGCTTAAGCCTAGCTCTTCCAGCACCCAGGTGCTCATCCTGCAAAGTGCTGGATCCTGAGAAGTGATCTCATATCTTGTGGAGGGTGGGCTGTGGATGGAGGTGATGATTGCATCTCCCCTGGAGATGCAGTGGTGGCTGTTGTTCAGAGTTTGATGGCTTTCAAAACTGGCTGTGAGCATCATAAGTGGGTCCTTCTCCCTGATTAATGGGCAGTCCACTTTGGCTGACCTCCTCAAACTGCCTTTGGCAAATGGTAAACTCTCTTGTCCACAGTTGTGATGATATGGAGTCACTGTAATTTTTTTAGCATTATCTTTCTTCTGCTTTAAAAATTTTTTTTATTTTTTCAATCCTAAGATGAAAAGTTGGGATCTCCCTGGTGCCAAGTGACCAGCCCCAGGGCCACAGTGCTAGTTAAGAGCATAGCTGCTTTAAGAACCCTGGGTTTACTGACAGCGTGAGATCTTCCTGAGATTTGAACCCAGCTCTCATTTACAAATATGCCACCTACTTAAACTCCTGGATCAAGACACATCTACAAAGAGGATAATAATAATCACAATGTCTATTTCACACAGTACGGTAAAAAACACTAGGTAAAACTATTGTTGTGTGCCTTCGGGTTGGTTCCAACCTGTAAAGGGTTTCTGAGAAGCAGTTGGTAGGTTTGAACCGCTATCCTTTCGGTTAGTTTATTCTAAATCACCATACCATATGAAAATTTCCCATCAAAGGAACACTTACTCGATGTCTAATTGATAGTTTTCCGCCTTGGCATTCTTGATTTCTGTATTGTTTCCCCCAACCTACATCCTCGTACACAATGGTAGTAAAAGGCGTGACCTGTCTGAACTTGGTATGGGAACAGATTTGGGAGACCCCCTCCACCACGAGATGACTTACCTGGTGGTAGTCTGGATGGTGTTTTCTTTTGTGTGATTGTGCTCTTTGCTCACTTTTTCTGTAACAAGAAAGAATAAAACATACACCTTTTAGGCAATTCTTAGTCAACTTCTATCATCCATGTGTAAGCAGAAACACCAGCCAACGTTTTTCACATGGGCTGGGGAAGTCAATTTTTGGTTTCTTTTGAAAAATCCATGCCCCTCCCTGTCTTTGTCATAGGGAAAATCACTAAAAGCGGGTAGATAGTGTACACAAAATGAATGAAAGTAAAAACCAGTCAAAGGTAAATGGTTAAGTATAAATTTCAAACAGGTTGACCAATTTTAATCTGGCCTTAATAAGTACATGTAAACACATACATAGACATAGAGATGTGCACTATGACAGCAATTTCTAGTCTCTCTCTCTTGCCCAGCTGAAAAGATCTGCTTTTCTCTGATTCAGCACGAAAACTGCAGTTGTTGCAACTGTTCTGCTTCTGACTTTGATGACAACCTGTAAGTATTCTGTATTGTTCGGTCCCTTTGTTAGAGGGGATATAAAAACGGCCAGAAGACCTCTTGTTGCTACAGTTAGTGAGTGCTTATTCTGATAAATGTCACCAGGGACAAAAAATATCATTAGACAAGAAAAGGTAAACCCTCCTCTTACTCTGTCTTGAGGTCAGTGTCTACCAGCTGTCAGAAATTATTTAACTAGGTTTCAAGAACACAGAAGTTGAACTCTGGCCTTCCCAATCCAGTTCAAATGCTGGGACCCGGCCCTAACCGTCTGTCTCAGTTCTCAAAGGCTTCTAAGTATCTATAGAAAACCAGACCAACTCTACAAGGGTTTCACATTTCAACTGCAGGGCAAGTAAAAAAAGCTCCTAATCTTGTGGAGTTTGGGAAACCTTTAAACAAAGACTTACAACATCTGCCCCATACTTTGTAATACTAGTTTGAAGTCACGGTATGCATGCTTGCACGTACAATGTACAATTCCTTTCTGTCCACTCAGTAATGACAATGAGGGTGGATTGGATTCACGGCCAGTATTCTCTCAGAGAGCAGGAAATCCAGGCTCAGTGACCTGCTGGAGGGCACCCAGGCAGTCAGGGACAGTGCCAGGGTGAGGACATTCAGATGCAAAGTTTTTAGCTGATGGGAGATAATTGGAGACAGTGACAACGCACTGTTAGACAGAGGGACTGAAACGACCCCAGTAGTCTCACTTTTGCAAATCTCAACTGATGAACAATTTTTAAAATATTGCATTGTTTTTAGATACACTTTCAGCCTATTTAGAAAAAAAAAAGAAAGAAAAAGCCTCTTGTATAAATGTTTTGGAGCTTGCAAAGATCCACAAGTCCTATTAAATGTACTAAACTTTCCTACTACCGTGCTGACTGACGCTGTCATTTTCAACATCATCTGAAAGTTACACAGCTATAGAGTGTGCTGGCAGGCCACTGAGAAGGTGAACTATGATGAGAGCATGCAGTTTCAGCTTCTCTTCACTTACTTTCCTGGTAGTTTTTTTAGGAGAGGGTCAAGGGAGAACAAGTGAACACTGACATAATGAGTCATTTAATGGGTGTTTTAAATTTACTATCCACAGC